ACAATATTTACAAAATGATGTTATTATTTTTGCAAGGTAACAATTATGGAACTATTGAATCTCATATGTTGATCTCATATTCCAGAAATAGAAATAATCCCATTGACTGAACTTTTTCATTCTTTCACCTAATCTTAAATCTAATGTATTTATTTTTACTAAAAATAAAATAAAATCGCTCTCATTAAAATTGTATCATGTGAATTAAGTTTCTTCCCCACAAAGAAATCCCTGACCTGTTCTTGTTCATTAAGTAAAGAGTTCTTAAAGCCAACACCACAGTGACAAACACACGAGTTCTGATTGGGAAGGAACGTAGAACTAAAAAGCATGTTTTCAGCTGCATAGTAAGTAGAAGGTGTTGCAAAAGGCTTAATGAATTAACACCTGTTTTTTCTTCCTGCCCTGTTAATAAGAAAATTTAAGTTGATTCTTTAACAGAACGTTCTCTTTAGCAGAGTTAACAGGACAATATGAATATATCTAACTGATTCGACAGCTGCCGCCAGGTCTGCACCTCAGGTTAATGAAAACCAATGCTCACAAAGACTAACCCAGTTACCTAGGATCTATCTCATCAGGAGAAGTTACAGGTTCATTCTTAAACTCAGGCAGTGAAATGTTTTGACAGTACAAGAAAGAAACCCTGAAACAGCTGCCGATTTTACTACTGTTCACAGAAACGCTTGGAATTTTCTTATCAAGATTGGTCTTGAGCTCCAGGTAATTGCATGAGAACTGCGAAGTATTTTCAAAAATATTGTGATCTCCTGCACATTCAACATTCCATCTTCTTTCCATTTAGAAAATACAGTCTTTAAAGCTACTAGTTAGGCTCAGTTATAGATAAAGACAATAAGGAAAAAGAAAAAGTAGATCTTAGAAGTTTTCTAGAGGGCTAGGAGGAAAAGAAAATCTCATGTCCAGCAGGGCACAGGTTGCACACATTTGTTCTTTCTCTGTTAAAAATTTACCTAAAAGGTAACTGCAGGAAGCAAGTAGCCTCATGGGCAGCAATGTGAGCACAGCGTTGCTGCTCACTCTGAACCTAAGAGCAGCCAGAAACAGCACGCTTCCAAACCTGCAAACTGTGTAGGGCAAACTGTGCTGCTTTGACATTAATAAAAAGCACATGACAAGGTCAAGGGATGCCCATGTACACCGGAAAAGACCTTTTCCTTGTCTTAAATGAAGCAGTTCAAAATATTGAAATCCTGTCTTAAAAACAATCTGCTCTCTTGTAAGGCCAAACACCTGCAGCTCTTGCAAGACAAATGTTATGGCAGTCTGTCTTCTGCTTTACAGCCAGAGAACCAGGGGTGATTGTTAATGTCGGACTCAGAAAGTGCTATGGCAGTTCAGAGGCACGCTCAACTCCTGTACACACACATTCACCTACAGATACGCTGCTCCCTAACAATTCCAAGTTAACCAATTTTTGTTAAAAGAAAATGGCACTAAGCAACTGGAACCTAATTTGAAAAGGAAATACAATATCCCCAGAAATGTATGCATGAAAGCCAAGAAGCTGCATAATAGGCATAGAAAACATAAAAAATATGTGATTTACATATATTACACACTAATAATCTCTGTTCTGCCATTATATTTATAGAGCGCTGGCTGAGATGGAGCGCTTGTGGCTTGGTTGTTTCTCTATTTGATACAAACAAGGACACTCCTAGCTATCAGTTCCCCAAGACATCCATCACTAGTTTATTCCCGCAGAAGCCTATCTTCGACAGGTCTGCAGGCCAGGTTCTCACCACAGCCAGGTGGTAGCAAGGAAACCAGATGCACAGTGAGAGCCATCCATCATCCAGAGGGGATCTGCAGATCCTGCTACAATGTAATAAAGGGCTGAATGTTAACCAGGTGGGACCCTTCCTATTCTCTCATTCTTATGAACAAGAATACCGTTTTATTTCCCAGTAAACTACCGTCCTGCAAGACAGCTACATTAAGTTCTGCTTCTTAAAACTGAGCAAGATGTACAATCCTCTAACTTCCAAGTTCATGGCTGAAGTGATAAAAACAAAGTTACAGCACCCCAGTCATTTCCCCTTTTCTTCTGTGCTTCACCTAATGCTTGCCTTGAACGACATGTCAGTCCATCATACCCAAGAACAAAGTTAGAAAGGAAACATCCCACACAGCAAATAAAGCATCCCCAGAGGTCTGCATGTCAAACCCTCAATTGGAACAAACTGAAGTTGAAGGGAAGAGGAGGTTTAAGTCTGGTAAGACTTGAATCCTATGAATCTTAATATTAGATTTTGTTCTGCAAATTCTGAGGCTTTTATTTTTTACTCACAAAAGATGATTTGGGTTCAGACAAAGCCCCCACCTTCTCCCTCCCACTGAAGTCGCTGTAAATTCACTCATCCACAGTATATCCAAAGTGTTTTTCTGAGAGACACACTGATGGGTGGAAACATGATTTAATTGCTCACATACCCAGACTTACTGTGGTCAAAAATCCACCAGCTAGCAAAAAGATCCTCTCTCTAAACCTAAATCCCACACACACGGAGAGCTCTGCAACGTGCCCACTCAGCAGCAAAATTCCTGTTTCTTTCTTAATAAAATCACCAGTGCAGAACTGGCTTTAAACTTCCTGGCTACACTCAGACACCTGTGGTGCACAGGTCCCAAGGAAGCCCAGCAAGGGGATCCTCTGGGACCCTCCAAAGCCAATTGAAACACATCTTGCACTCAGTAGCATAGCACTGATGTGATCAATATCTTGGTCTCATCCTTCAGGCATAGAGCACAATCATTGTTTCTCTGGAATCACAGTTGTTTCACATAATGAACAGTTTTATGCAACGAAGAAGGCAGAATAGTTGCAGAGACACAAACCCTGGGTGTGTCATTTAATCCCAAGGTGTCTCTGTTATCACTTAGGCCCCAAAACTGTTTCAGAGGTGCTATTTTGGTAACAATACGTGAGCATTTTAGGGCTGCTTTTTTGTTTGTTTGTTTGCTGTAAGGTGATGGAAAGATATTGATCAGCCAGTCAGGTTCATTATTCCATTGTCAAGAAGCTGTTTAACATCTAAGTGAATATAAGCGATCACCTGTGGACATTCAGTGATGAACACATAGCATCAATTTCTGAATGATCTGCCTCCTTCTAAACTTGTTGGTAAAGGTGCAGAATAAAGACTACAGTTCTAAAGACCAGGGCAGAAGAAGTTTTAGAGCAGAAAATCAAAGAACAGCAGAAGCTTCATAGCATAAAGACAGAGCTGGGTGTAAAGAAGCCCAGAAACTGATTAAAAGAAGTCTAATCTGCTCCAGAATCTCCTTTTGATTATATCAAACCTCAAATCAGCAAGACTTTGGGGGGGGAGGAAGCCTGCCCTCACTGTTTTGTTCCACTTTGCCCAGACATCACAAGATTTCTTTACTGTTGTGCTCAACTTCTGTGTCACAGACAATAAAAGCTTTGTGAAAGAAAAAAAAGATCACATTTTCCATAGCCAGAACCAACATACATTTAAACTGACACTAACAACTACCTTTGATGGATTAACGCTCAATCCTAGAAGATATTTATATCCAAACTGTGGAAGCCTTGAACACTATGAAACCAACCATTTTTAAAAAGTCGTGGCTTTTGTTGAAGATTGCATTTAGAAATGGGAATTCTTTAGAACAAAATCCATTCAAGTCTTGTTGGAAGTACATCCGTTTGTTTTTTCTGTTGGTATTTTTTTCTCGAGGTTTCAAGCCATAAAGTTTTGTACTCCACTCTATGCTATAGGAATCTGTGAAACTTAATTACATTTACTGTTACAAAAAAGGGTTTATGAACTTTTGCCTTTGGGCAAAAATGTTTATTTCATTGCCTTTGTTATTCATTCTTTTCAACTCCAGTGCCTTTGAACTTTTCAGCTGCACAGAGTTATCACCGTTGCACAGGAACCAGGAACTGTACTCCCAAGATGCAAACCACAAGTTGAAGAAAACGAAGGAGGCAAAGATATACGAGTCGTTATTTTGGCCACCCTTTGTGCCATTAAAATCTCATTTTCTGCCTATTAGAATGCCCTCTCCCTGCTTAGGCAGTGGTGATAGTCGGTGATTAGTGTGTAATTGAGTATAATTGTCTTTTCACTTTTCATTTGTGTCATTCTGAGCTTCTCTCTGTTTTTCTAACCACTTCGAGGAAAAAAGGGTGGAAAGCAGATAAAGCCGTTAAAACTCTCACTTTCAGCCCTGAAGAGATTCCTGATTGTAATTATAGATTGCATCCTCTTTGTGACTTCTCAGAATTTAGTGGACATCTCTTTCCGAGCACCTGGGCAAAGCTCTAGCTAATAAAATAAACTACCATCTATTCAAGTTTAACTAATAATGTCAGCTTCAGACAGATGCCTCATGTAGGAAAATTTAACCAACCTTCTGACACTCAATTATCAAGGCAATTTATTAACGTGATTTCCTAAGAAGAGCTCATGCAAATTAGAAAAACAATTACGGCAGTCATGCATTTATACATTGCCGAAGAGCAGTAATGCTCCTAATTTATGTGTTTATAACTCGATTATAGCTCATCTCAAAGTGCAGTGTTCAGCCCTCACAGCTCTCCTAGCACCACTAGCACTTTTCCCGTAGTGTCTGCTACAACCTTTGTGAGGTTATCTTAAAGAGATTTTATTCACTCAAAAGCTACAAGACCTATTTCTGTACCTAGCACTGGTTCTTCAGGAAAACAGCAGTACCTTACCAATGCCTAACAACTGAATATAAACACAGACCCTGTAGGATTACTTTATAAATCACTTGAAATTAAATATAAGCTATGACTCTTGATTCAGCCAGTAGGAAGAAAAAAATAAAAAAAGAAGGAAACTAGCAAACTGAAATCATGTGGCTTATATAAAGAATACATTATGGTTTAAATTTGGCAATTCATTATACTGTGGCCTGAGGGAATAGACTCTTTGGTTCTGGTATACAGCAAATCCTCTGTCTGAAAACACAGGACTGACCTGAGGTGAAAGGCCATTGCCAATGGCAGGGTTCATGGGATTTGAGGGCCCGGACGGAGGCACAAAGCTGTCTGTATAGCTGGAAAATCCATGCCTGGTGCTGGGTAGGCAATAGGCAGAGCTGCTCTCTGGGTTTGAAGGGAGGCTGCTTTGGTGTACAGTGCTTGGAGGGAGAGGCTGAGGTCTATGGACTGTACTGCTTGGATCAGACACGGCTGGAAGGAAAAGAAACACGTTGATCATTTCCCTCCTCTTTTCCTAGGTAATAAGTTCATTATGTGAAGCTCAATTTGATATCATTTCATCAGAACCTGCATGGAAGTACTGATTAAATAGAACAGTAAGCCTTCAACATTGCTAGATATCTAGCTGGCCAGTAAAATTACATAAAAATTCCATGAAATCGTCATTATTAAATAGACCATAAAAGCCAAAACAGACTCGCAGTTTTCAGACAATTCTCAGCAAGTGCACTGCTTAGAATTAACACCACAAAATTATATATAACATATGAAAAAATATATTTTAGATGAATGTATTTTAGTATATAATAATACATAAGCACGTACACACACACATATAAGCTTACATATAAAAGAAAAGCTTAATTTGTTCAGAAGACAGGCTTCTCCTTTCTGATCCAGGCTACCAATATTCACAGAATTTCTGGTGAGGTTATGACAAATACCATGCTGAAACTTGCTACTATCCGATGCAAAACAATGGTCTGAATAGCTGATTATTTGCACTGGGAAAAGCTAGGAGTACTTACTGAAGTTTCAGTGCATCGCCATCAAAAGCAACAAAGAGGACAGGACACAACTGCTGCTCTTTCACACCACACCTCTGCAATGCGTGAGGCTATTATTTCTCTGAAGACAGTACCCTTCACATGGAACCAGCTCTTTCTTGCAGCAAAACAAATTAGAATCCTTACATATTTTAAATAAGCAGACTTGCAAGGTCATCACCGATTCAGTCCCTAAAGTAGCCAGTGTCCTTTTTTCTACATTTTGAGAAGAAACTGTTTCTGCAGCAGATGAAGACACGAAGCCCCCAGAAGCACCCTCTAGCCAAGTACCTGTGTGCTACTGTACCTTGCGGTATGGAGGTGGGCTGATAGGACGGCTCAGAGAGCTGGTATGTCGGCAGAGTCGGCATGGCGCTGGGTGGAAACCCTCCTGGGATCAGGTGGTTAAAAGCCATCAGTTGGTTGGCTCCTGCCTGCTTCCTCCATCTAGCACGGCGGTTGCTGAACCAGACCTACAGATGATTTAATTAGGCATGTTTGATTTCTGTACATTTAATAAAGGTGCATCGGAAATATTAGCATCGTATTTAAAATGCAATCGGCGCCTCAGAAGAGAGCAAGAGAAGGTGTGCATTGGGCACATTTGCTGTCAACTCAGAGCTCCTAGACACTCAAAGAGTCACACACTTGGCACACACTTTCATGGTTCAACAGACAGGAAGCAGGAATCCCAAAGCCCAGTTTCCTCTCAACTATGGCTTCCTGAGAAAGAAGCTGACTAATGTTTTCAAGCTTTAGTGCCTTTAATAGCTATTAATGACTGTCCTTACTGCCAGATTTAACGAGAAAGGGAAAACATCTCTCCATTTGATCTGAGTGCCAGCCAAACTATTTGGTCTCAATTGTTTTGTTTTTGCATTCAAATTGCTGACAAGTCAGCAGCATCCCTTGAAGCACTGTTGGAAGGTGCTTATATTTATATGCTGGAATTTTATATTGCCCTAATTATCAACAGAACTTTAAGCTTTTAATTTGAAAAACAAAAGCTCCGCATATAAAGGAACAAAGCCCACCCAACAAGTTTTCATGTATTCCCATATGTACAAAACATCTCTCAATAAACTCAACATTAGCACTAGATCATAATTTCAGTACTAGATCAGTATTTCAGAACTAACCACACTGAAATCTGTTCCCAGGACAGGGAATCAAGCAGATGGGTTTTGGATTAGTGGAAAAATTCAGCTATAAATCTGCTTTCTACCAACAAGTGATTCCTTCACACCATTCTCAGCTCATGCTCTAAGTTTTCCAAGCCTTCAGTGGCTCTTATTACCTACAAGAAAGGGGGAGACAAGATCTCACTGACACAGACAATAAGATCTGCAGCATGTAGGTTAATATTGGTATCAGTGGTGACTACACGACACAAGTCTGAAGGGCAGGCAGGCACAGCAGGGGTGCCCAGACATGGCATGCATCACCACTGCCTTGCTACAGGTTTAGAGTATCTGCCAGGTTAAACCTCTTCCAAGAGCAGGACAACTGCAGGAGAGAAAGGCTTTTACATGTTGTAAACAAGCAGACACATTATTGCTCATAACTGTAGACAGTGAAGCAGCTGCAGCTGATCAGTTAGAAAAGAGCGAGCTAAGGTCTCACACAGTATGTCTGCAGAGCCTGTGGGCAGTGCAGCCTGAAGGGCAGGAGGCACACTAGCTGCTGAACCTCGACTAGAAGTATTTGTAACAGTTAGTGAGGTCTCAGATCTGTCACCCTTCCAGTGAACAGCCCACGCCATCTTACGAATCAGCCATCACAGACTACATTTCCAGGTGTAACATTACAGGCCATAAGCTGCCTTTATATGAGGGCGTAGAACATTTTGAACTCCCTTGCTCACATTTCAGCCTGAATTTCGTATTCCTCAGACATCTTCCATACGCTTATGCCCTTCAGAGGCCACCGATCTCACATTCCTATTGCGCTGTCCTTTGAAGATGACCAAAAAGAAAGAAAGGGCAAAATACTCTGAAGAGGGAGAAAGGGGCTCTCTGAAGAGCCAAAGTGCACTTAGGAAGGATAATGGAGGTCACAGAGGGAGTGGGGAACAGTGAACACACACAGTAATTAGCCCACCCAGGTCATTAACTGTTGTTTTCTCCATGACACTCTCCCTTCTTCAGGTCAAGAGGGTTATCTGGTGATCTTCAAACACTTTGGGAACCTTGCTGAACACCACTGTGTGGTTTTCATTGAGGAAAAGGGTCAGTGAGATTTTATTTCCTCTACAGACAAGGGTCTGTCTTCTGGCTCTAGATCTTTCTCAAAAACTGAGTCAAATCTAAAACTGGAACTCAGCAGCAGCATTAATGCCAAGTGTTACGCTTTTATTTACGGATTATAGGTCTTGCCTACATTTAGCTCATTTTATAGACAAGTGCTTTCCCAGAACTACAGAGGTGCACCGGCCGTCACAGGCAGGGATGTGCTCGGCAGCCCTCAGTGAGCACATGCAGGAGCTCTGCTGCCAGCCCAGCCCCATGGGGCTGCTTTACCATTGCTGGGCCAACCAAAGTGACTACACAAAACACTCGGAACAGCAGAGCGAGTTTCTGCCAAACGATCCTCAGCAGAACACGGCTACGGGAGTCTGTCCCACACAGAGAACCTGCCTCAGGACTTCAGCCCTTTTGGGAACACCAAGGACTCATTGCCACAATAACCATGTGCGCTTTCTGCTACCCAGTGATAGATAAGCACAAAAACATCTTAGCTGCAAGCACCAGGGGCATCATCCATGTATGTCCTTGTTTTCCTTTGATTTTAATGGGCTTTGGATCCATCTTGGTAAAAGCAAAAGGGATTTGTCATAAAAATGACCATAAGTATGGCCCCAACAGTTACCATCACACACTTTCACAAGTGAACTCACTGAAACTCTGACTTCTGGGTGTTTAACAGAACGATTTTTATTGCCTAGCACGGCCCAGCCCTTCTGACATGATGGCCAGTGTCTGAAACATGGTGGGTCTGACCTAGCCTATAAAGTAGAGATGTGCTTTGCCACTGTGTTTAACTCCTACTTCACACCAAGTAACTGCAGACAAAGTAACTGTGAGATGGAACACAAAGAGGAAACAGTCTAACAGTAAGAAGAAAAAGGAACGTGAAGAAAGTGAAATGGGAGAGTTTAAAAGTTGAAAATGAAATTAATAAAGTCAGGACCAAGTGACTCTAAGCTAAATAATTCAAACATTTATGTTCTACGTAATATTTGTTAAAACGAGTGAGATGCCAAACTTTATGCAGAAGCAGTTATACACTTGGTAGGTTAAGTGAAATTATACCTTTTTAAAATCATGCTATTCTACTTAGACTACATACAGCTGCCTTAATTTATTCTGAAAAGTCCAGGAAAAAAATTAAACACCACCTATGAAAAATCCGCATGCATCGTTGCCTCTATTTAAAGAAATCTTGAAAAATTTTGCCAATATTAAGTCAAGGCAAAAATAATTACCACAACTCATTGTGTATACTGAAAAGCATACTGCAAATACCCAGGGAAATGCTTTGTTTTGTTTGCTCATTTCCCGCGCCATTGAAACACATTTCCATTCAGTAAATTTCATCAGAATTACAAAATCCCCACGTTATGAAGTGGACTTTTCAAATCTAGCAGATTGCCCACAGCATACTGTTCTTCTGCAGCCTCACTTCTGAGCAAAGCAATCATCACCTTTGTGCTGCAGTCACCACGAACACGCTAAATTCCCTCATGGAAGCAAAGCAATAGATATTAGAGTTTTTGCCTCTCAGAGACTCAAAACACAGCATTCTTACACCAACAGACCCACGTCAGAAGAAATTTGACCCGCCTGTGCTGGGGCCTTAGCTCTAAATTAGGTCAGCATTGTGCTTGGTGTTGTGCAAACACGTGCACGGGCAGAGGAAAGGCAGCCTGCTGGGTGACCCCAGCACCCAAAGCGAGGCCGTGCTCGCAGCCAAGGCACGTTCATGTTGGTGAGACTTTGGCTCCCCAGCTTCAGTGTCACTTTCAGAGATGGAATGTAAATTACTCTGACTATTTGGAAACAAAGTTTAACCACAGAGTCTGGCTAAAATTTATATCACTGAAGGCCTTGAAAATAGAACTGAAGAAGAGTGAGAGTACAGTGAAAAAAAAAAAAAAAAAAAAGGTGTAATTTTGTAATTTAAAGGAAGTAAGCATTGCAGACCTAATTTTTCACACATCTGGAACTGGACTGACAAAAAAGAAATCACTGCAATATAAAATATTAAATAAGTATAATATAATTTTGTATGTGTATATATATATATTGCAGTCCTGTTGAATGGATAATGAATGAAACCTAATAAGTTTCTCCCATTTCTTCTTTCTTACATTCAGATCCTGCTTTTTATTATCATTTTTCCTTTAAGTAGTTTGCAAGCAACCATGCCAGCATCTTACTTTGTTGATCTCAACAGGGTAGTCCTTAAGAGATGCATTTATTCACTTGGGAACATAGCAGTGTAATCAGCCCTGACATCTCAACAGCCTGATCACAAACACAGAGTGCTCTATGTGCTTTTAAGGGAAAAACATCTCCAAACCACCAGCACAAAACATCTGAGATGTGAATTCTGCAGGAAACTCGCAGATATTTTGTTAAAACGCAGTCCTGACCATTGCAAACATAAGTGCCAAAAGCATGCAAAGTCAGAAGACTGAGGAATTGTTTGCGGCACTTCGCATTTCAGCCAAAGTGCAATTTTCCCCCATTTGCCTCCTGATATTTTCCACATACCTGCCTCCTTGCCATATTCCCACCTCTTCCTTCCTCCAAAAAGCAAAAACAAACAAAAAAAAAAAAGAAGAGAATGAGGCCTTCCAACCACCTCTCAACGTGATCCAACATACTCAACTCTCACACGTTACCCTGCCTCAGTCCCGCACGGCTGCTTTTCAAACACTGCAGCTGAGTGCTGTTCAGTAGTGTTGATTAATAAGCACAATAAACTGTGTAGTTTTAAATCAGAACTCCACTAATTTGAGCACACAGGCAGTAGGGACCAAAAAAAGAGAATCAAAAATAACATCCTTTCTTCTCTTTTATATTTATAAATGTCTTTTGGGGCCTGCATGTGTTTGTTGTTGGCTGATTTATCTAATGGAATTCCTGCTTTACCTCAGGAAAAGAAAAATAAAACTGCAATTGCAAGGTTATCTACTGCAAGAATGCACACAGCGTTTTCTTTCTGTATCCTGTATGTGCTGCAAGAAGGATAGCCTCAAAAAGAAGCACTATAAATTTTCCGCAAACCACATCAGGAATATGCGTAAAGATCTGCTGAGAGGTCTTAAATGTTTCTGAATCCATCCCACATTCCTTTCCCCCATCTCCCCTTAGGACCACGCAGCTGGAGCATGAGCTCAAACCATTCCAGAGGGCTGAGTGCAAATAAAGATTTTTTTGGCGCAGGTTCCTCCTCCCCTGATTTCCCAGTGAATGCTTCCCACTGTTTGCTACTGAGAAGAGAATACTAAAGCTAAGAGATTGGACTTCAGATCTTTCAAATCACACACAGCTTAAAAGTCATCACTGCTTCTCTCCCCTTTGCCTCCTCTATCTTCTCCAAACATTCTCTTCCTTTCCACACGTTCCTTTCCACAGTGAACAGAAAAAAAAGCCAACATGCAATCACATCTCTAAAATAGTAAAATATTCCTACAGTTTTTCTTCTGGCTGCACAAGACCTGGGCCCTTAGAACTTCTATTCACTGAAGCCGTGATGAGGTTTTTACAAAAGCTTACTACAGGGTTGACATGAGAATTTACATCCCCATCCCCAGCCTATAGATTGAGGCCCCACGCTGCTGCCAAATTCACCCAGTTCATCCAGGACTGAAGATAAGCCTGGTGTGGGAATCCAGAAGTGGCCAGAGGAGACACTACCCACTTCATTCCTTATGCGTTGTTACAGAAACCGTAACCGTGCTTCTCTGAAGCTCAGAAGGAGCCTTTGATCTTTATCTACAGTGGGGAAAATTTCACTTTTGGAATTAGCCCCCAGGTTGATTCAGTAAGTATAGGCCAGAGACCTGAAGAGTCTACACTGCAACTTCATGATGGCTTAGTGAGTTCCATTCAAAGTATGGAAAGCTGTAACTTCATAGTAAAGAGGATCACTTTTTTTTCTTTTTTTTTTAACCTTTTTTTTTCTTTTTTTAAGGGTTACTCTTCTTGTTTTAAGGGTTACTCTACGCCTTGAGGACTTGACTCAAGTTTCTGAGCGATATACGTTGAATGCACAACACCAATCAACTTTTCCCTTCCTGATGCATCTAATGTCAGAAAAGAGCCGGGTGCCCTTGGAAGAGGGAGCAGAGGCTGTCCTGTTTCCACATGCCATCTGGGCTCAGACACGAGGGAAAGACTTCCAGGGTCCTGGAGCACAAAGGCACTGGAGGAGGAATTCTAGGGAGTATTTTCACTTCTTTTTATATACAGTGCTTAAGTACTCACAATAATTACAGTTATACATCTTGTGATTCTTGCAACATGGAGCTTGTTTCAACATTTCTTACCCCAAAAGCCTTTCCTTTCCCACAATTTAAATACACAAATAACATTAACAGTGTAAAGTCTGTTTTCAGTTGCTTGTACCTTTCAAAAAATTCCCCTTAGGGGCTGAAACATTCTAAATTTGATCTCAACCCAGAGGTGGCTTTCCCCACCCCCCTCCAACCAGCCTGCTTAGAAACACGTGCCTGGCCACCCTTCAGCAGCAAGAAAGTGAGAAAAAAGACAGTTTGGAGGTTAAAGACTCTTCTTTCCATGAGTGTTCAGAGCTCACCCCTTAGGAATAGAGGGAAAGAGGATGCACGGGAGTGGCAGAGAAAAAGCAAAACATGGAGGGACTGAAAGAAAAGCTCATACGTTCTGTTGTAATCAGTTAAGCATTAATTAGTTAACATCCTAAACAATGTAAAACAACTATATGAGATTTGTTACTATAGAAAATCCCATTAGAAAATCTCAAGAGAAAATAATAATGTTCGAATCTCACCCAAATTTGGGCTGCAAAGAGTACATTACACTCTTCTACAAAATATTTAATGAAGTAGCAGTCAAAGAGATCTTTGTGCATATATCCACATAAGACTTTGTATCTCTGATCTCTGTCATACTCTTACCAAAAAAGAAATGTGACTAAGAGAGCTTGAATGCTGCATCTGTATGGCTCTCCAGCCCTCTCAGGCTCAAGTCTCTTAGGGTTATTTCCTTTCACAGGTCTTCTTTTATTTCATGCCCATCATAGGTGGCTATTTTAAGGGGCTGTAGAGAGGTGCTGAATGCTGATAAGGAAAATCCTGTATCCCTTAATCCACTACTAAAACACTCTGCCAGCCCTTCAAGGGTACCAGACAGATGGAGTGCACTACGAAACTACCCACAGGCTGGCTACTTCAACCCCAGCTCATCTCTAAGCCAGAAAAGTTTTGTTCTGGTGTTTCAATCATTGATTGACTGGAAACTTTCTTCCATGCTGGGTTAGGCAAAATATCCATATGTTAGAGGTACTGGGGAATTTGTGTGGCTATAGATCATAGGAGTGGTGTGAGACAAGATGCGTCTCAAGGGAACCAAGGAAGCCATAAGGAATGTAAAAAGTCACAGGGTTAAAGCCACATTAAGACAGCTGTTATGTTAATGAGAGTTCTGCTTTTCTTCTAGCTGTGGGTCATTGATTTAGAAAAACATGAACAAGGTCTTTTTCATTTTATCGTATCTTTCCACTGAAGCTAACATAAACCATCATATCCTACCATCAAGTTTGTCTTGCTAAGGGGACGTATATAGGAAGCTATCTTTATTATGCTTGTGCGTGGACGATTTCCAGGGCTTGATTTGGTCTTACCTGGCTCAAGTTTAGATACAAAGCTGTTTTGTAAGCATTGCACCTAATAAACATTTTAAGAAGAGAGTCATGCACCACTGAGTTTGCCCTCCAGACAAATTCATCCATACATCTGATTTTCTCTCACAGTCATAACAAACACTTGCAAGAAATTTGGTCTGAAGTCTTCTACAAAAACATTTAGCAGGTAAAACTGACAAAGTCAGGATTCTTCAAGACAGACACTCGGTAAATGCAGGCAGGCTACAAAAGGCATGCTTGCCTTACAAGGTCGGAGGGATGTTCTGAATCGCCTATTTCAGTCTGCAGAGTCTGAATGCCTCAGGCTGAGTTTCAAAGGGTCAAACCATAAAACAGCTTCACCAAAGCAGCCAAATTCACCTGGATCCTTGGGCAGCTCACAAGTTACCGCTCATTTTTCCTGTCAGCCGACCACATATTTGCCTACAAACACTTGCACTTTGGATTGATTTAAACAGGACAATCTTTTTAAAATCCCTCTTGGATGTCAGTTAATAAAAGAGCACCAGAGGAATCTCTCTGCATTACTAAGCATCTCACAGGACACGATTCTGTGTTGTAAACAGAGCAAGCCTTAATCTGAACCTGAACTCCTAGATCCAGTTTATTCCAGAATTATTTGGCTTCTAGTTGCCAATTTTGGACATCTGAAAATCCAGGTTCAAGCTTTTTTTTTATTATTTTTTTTTTTTTAACTTAAATCAATTCCATGATTTACTCACTCCTCCAGCACTTGTTTTAGACAATCCAGATCAACACGAAGCTGTGAAGACCTAACTGTTATTTGAGGGTTTATTTTGTTTTGAATTAAACGGACAGTGGGCATAGAAGAGTTGTTACAAGGTTTAAATCAAGTCAACTTCAAAAGTTAACCTAATAGCAAACTGTAGATACTGCACCAGTTACCATGCTCACTTGCATGGCTCTATAAACACGTCCTTTTTAAAATGCTTTTCTCTCCTCTGTTAATGCCTGAAAGACCCAAACAACAACAGATGAAATCAGTTACATAACTATAAACTGGCACAAAAGCTGAACTGATTATATGCAGAGTGCTGTCAAATGCATAAAATAAACAAACTGGGATAACAGACCTTCTTCTGTGAAGGCTGACTAGGCTGTTGCTTTAAAAAGTTGGAAAATCATTGTCCATGCACAGATGTAAAAACCACTAAGGCTGTACATATTGTAGCTTCAAGTTTTCCTTCTAGCCTAGAGCTGGATCGTGTGAGAATATTAAAGGACTGTCACATTAATAGGAATTTCCCTTTGTTAGGCAGCCTCTAAATTCATACCTGAACTCGAGCTTCTGTGAGTTTGGCTCTTTGTGCGAGTTCTTCCCGAGTATAAATGTCAGGGTAGTGTGTCCTCTCAAAAGCTCGCTCCAGCTCTTCCAGTTGCTCTGCTGTGAAGGTTGTCCTGCTGCGACGCTGCTTTCTTTTTAAAGGTAAGTCTGGTTCAGAATCGATATCAGAGCCTTCATCGGACTGGGGTGCTGATGCTCCAAATAAAGAATAAAGATAAAACATTAGCTTTAGTTGAAAGAGAAAAACAACAACAAAAAAAAACAAAAACAAACCAAAAAAAAAACCATTGCTGGCATCTTATGTCGAAAAAGTGCTTTTGTCTCCATGACTCGAAACTGAGTTGGTGAACTTCAAAACAGCAAATAAACGGAGAAACAAATCAGAGTTAAATGTTATGCTGTGCGAGTGTGCTCAAACCAAAAGGATTAGCAATTCAGTTATGAGTTTAGCACGTTTTCCTGACTCAAAAATATATAAGGACCTCTAGAAATACTTTTGAGTGAATGAATTAATCAATTTCTTCATTTTAACTCCAATAATTTTCAAATTTAAAAACCTGGAGCAGTTCATAGAATCACAGAACGGCCAGGGTTGGAAGGGACCTCAAGGATCATGAACCTCCAACCCCCTGCCACACGCAGGGCCAATCTGATCTTCGATCTGGTCACACATCAGTACTGCCTTCTTTCCTTGCCTGCTGCGCAGATGCAAACATCTGTCACACCGTGTGCACTCTGCAACTTAAACATACAGATGCAGTGCATGAGACTTTCCCTACAGATCTGTAAGTAAATCTTCCTTGCTGAAACAGTTATGGAAGTGACGACAAAGCTATGGGGAGCAGCAATGAAGAAATTAATTCTACGTATTCAAATATTTCCTTGTGTCTTATGTAATATTCGTTCTACACTCTGAGTAGTATTGGCGGATCTTGGCACACTTAATCATTCCTGCTCATTTGTAACTTATTTGTCTGCCTTAGGACCATCTAATAACTTTAGGACAGTCCAGACAAGTGTTAACTAAAAAAAAAAAAGAAGAAAAAAAAAGTTGTACAGAGAAGTCCTGTAAAAATAGCTCAGAGCAATATTTTTTCTTCTTGATTCTTCCTGTTACTAAAGTAAGGAGATACAAGAAACAGCCAAAATGAAACACACAGATGACTTTACTTCCTTTGCCTTACAGTTCTTCATTACTCCTCCCAGGCTTGGGAGGCATCCCAGCACTGGCAGTGGCTGTAGGAAGATGCAGGTGTGTGCCAATGGTTCAGCCTTCAGGAACCATTCCAGGACGTGAGCACAGGCAGTCCAGGTGTTGGACCAGAGGTCTCTCACTGTGCCCTGAACTGGCACTTAAGGAGGGTCATGAAGAAACAGACCATGTACTGCACATCCACACCTGAGACAGGGCTTAGAACCCCTTGCAATCAGCCATTTACAGCGAAATCAGAACCAGTGAGCAGCTCTGATCACTATATTTCACATAAAAAGATTAGCTGTGCCCAGAAAACTCTATCTTATTAGATCCATTGATCTTTCCCCCAGTTCTTTGTTGCCTGTCCCACGGCACCACTTGCAGATCTCCAGACAATCTATCAGTCTTCTAGAAAAACTGAGAGATTCAGCTTCACAAGCATTATTTTAGCACCTCATGTAGTTAATTTAATCTTTTGGAAATAAAGGAACACATGGAGACACAGTGAGCGTGAGCTCACACACCCATAGGAAGCAAGTCCCTGGCATCACTGGAGGCTGACAGGAGATCATGGATCTCCTTGCTGACAATGGAGTGAACACCATCCACAGCCCGGTTTGGCTGAGCCCGTAGCTACAGTTGTGACGAGGGCAGCAAAGCCTCTTTTAGTACCCAACCACATTGACTTTTCCAACAAACTACCATGAACCACACACACACACACAATAAAAGACTTCCAAAGCCAGTTTTCACTTGCATCTGCTGCTATCCCAGAAAACAAGCATTCTTTTCTCTCCAAGCCTTCAAGGAAAACCACCTAAAGAGGGCAGACACTCCCCAGTGATGATGAAACTGCTTGTTCTGTGGAAATGCAAGCATTGCTTCTACTCCTTCAATAATTCCAAATAAATTATTGACAGAGACATTGATTTAGAATAATCTTAAAGTGATTTATTTGAAAGAAACTGAGAACACAAAGCCAGAACAGAAACTCAGGAACTCAGTTCTTCAAGCTGCAGCTCAAACCCTTCGCCTCTTTCAATTATAGCTATCTTCCATTTCCAATGGAAGCTCAAGCTGTTCAAACTAATAAATACACTTAATCTGTTTATTTAGCCTTACAGCATGGGAAAGAAAGAGTGCTTTTACAGACAAGTCCACTGAAGACTTTATGAAATTCTGCATTCAAAAAAATAAAAAAAAAAAAACAAACCTCTAACCAAGAGGCTCTTCTGTGAAAGCCATCTTCATTGTCCAGACACCATAAGTATTTTGGACCCAACATACACAAGGCATCAGCAGAAACCCACAGAGATGAACATAAATGCACAGTGTGAACATCCAACTCTGAGTCTTTTACTTGCGTGGAAGCTTTACTCCAAATAAGACTGAATTTAGCTATTCTGGAGAATATTGTCCCTCAAGACATAGGGGAACGAGCACAAACATCTTATCCCAAGTAGTTCAAGCTCATTCCTTATAGAAGTTGCAAATCTAGGGCATCCCAGGATAAACAACAGACTGAGATAGTGACAAATTCCAAATCCTCAGCTGGAAACCCAACCCTAGTGAGTCAGTGAGACCTGCCTTCCTGGTTCAGAAACAAAGAAAACACAGAACTTTTTAAAGAGATCATTTCCCTGTGTTGCCTCACATACCCATGGCACCTGCACGTGCCTGAGCGAGGCAAGCTAACTTAAATGGTGCAATATAGAGTGGCCACTTGTCACTCTGTATCTGCCCTGAACACCCTCAACTAACTGGGTGGGAATACCAGGAAGGCTATAATGATCTTTCTAAAAATGCTTCAGAAAGATTTAGTAAAAAATTGCAATGTTTCCCTGCACCCTCTGTTCACACAGTGATGAGAACAAGAATCTGACTTAATTTCATGTTAGCTTTACTTTACAGTAAACATTATATGTAATGCACAAAGATACTCCAGTCAGAAAAACAAAACAAAACAGCAAAAAAATACTGAACAAAGCATTCAAGAGTCCAGATTGTGTGTCTAGCACAAATGGTAACATTTAGAGATAAAGTAATGAAACTCAAGCAGGGAGAAAACACATATCCATTTAAATGGCTTTCCTACTCATCTGATTTCATCAGTATTACCTCTGCTTGGCCTGGCTACTAGGAGCAGCCTTAGTGAAAACTGACTTCCTTTGTCTTGGCTGATCTGCAATATTAAAAACCAGGCAAATGTAATCTCAAAACAGTAACTATATGTCTCTACAACAGATTACACTATTTTTATTTCCTGTTAAGTGTTTTTAAATAGCATTAGTTTTAAGGAAGCTTCTATCCTTGCTTTTTTTAATTAATAAAATACTATTATTAAATCTTTATATAGGCAAGAAGCCTACCAGAGCATTGGCTAAGCATACATATCAGACAAACCTCAGCCTTGCAGTATTTATTTGCCATCAGCTCCATAGCCACAGCCTACGGCCCTCTTACTGAGCTAACAGAGGCATGAACTTCCACAGCATAACACCACTCAGTGCTGGAAAAGGTGGTTGTTTTTAGCTATTTCCACCTCCACAGACCCACACTTTGGGTATTGCTAACTTTCACAGCCGTCCTAAGGATCCAAGCACTCCAAGCCTGCAGGCTGTAAGCATGACGCCTGGCCTCTCTCCTCCCCACATGGAGCACCACAGGGGCGGCAGCCCAAAGCACCACCAGTAGCTGAGCTGTGATGTTTAATTAAGGAAGAAATTGCTGCATTAAGGGGCAATCATTTGTTCCACAGCCCCTCATGACCTGCCTGGTAGCTGAGGAGAGGCCTCATCCTGGTTAGTGCAACAGCAAGAAGAAGGTCCTGCTCAGCTTCACAGGTCACGTGGAACTCTGCAATTATCAGCTTTGCAAACACTGTAAACAGACGTGTCGGGGCAAAAACCAGATGACAAAATAATGCACAAGAGGTCATTCCCTGGACTGTTTCTACTCTCAGCAAGACATTTCATTTGAATAACTAAATCACAAAAACATGACAACCATTTAGAAACCAGACATGATAGATGCAGCACACTGCACTCCACAGAGGTGGGCAGAGGGCCACCGTCCCACAGTCCGCCAGGGCACAGCTCTTCTGGCAGCCACCTAATAAAATATTTTGCCCTTTCTTCCGAGCCCCTGGCAAGTTGCCTGGCCAGGGGTCTGGCTAGAAGGCGGCACGAGCTGTGGAGGTGCTCCCAGCACCACGGCCGTGGCCCCAGCACCTCCGTGTGTCGGCCACGCTGCTGGGTGCCGCTGGGCAGGAGGGGACGCGGGTGACCTCCGGCGTGTCGGCTCGGGTGCAGGCGAGGAGGAGCACGGCAGGGCAGCCACCCCCACACAGACCCGCGGCAAATGACAAATGACACTTTCTCTTTGTGATCTTTGGGATTTTTGTTGACTTATTTGGAGGCTTTTGTTGGGTCCTAAGAAATGGCCTGTGGCTGAGGCCCATTCTGCCGATTTCCACGCTCCATCTGTGGTATCCATCAGCAGGGCCCTCGCCCGCATTCAGGGCTCTGACACCTGCCTGGCAGGATGCGGGCGGCACAAAGGAGGCGGCCGGGCCGGCGGGCGGGGGGCCGGCAGCCGGGGGAAGGGACGTGCAGCAGGGGTTAATCCACGCTCCCCGCCCTGAAACCGGCACCTGGAGGCGGCCCCGCGAGACCTCTGCCCACGCCGGGGCCCGGCACTGTTGCAGAGGAACCGAAAAGAGAGGAAGAAGAGGAAGCCGTGGCAGATCCGGGCCGCACAGCTCACCGCAGCGCTCCCTTCAGAGAGCCCCCTGCTCACGGCCAGGCCAGATGCTCCCCCAGGACCCGCACTTGCACTGGGGCAGGCCCTCAGCAGCAGGCATGGGAACGTCCACAGAGCAGCGATACTCTGCGAGCCCTTCCTTTCCTCAGAATAAAATCCACGGGAAGATAAAACAACAAAGTTACTTCCTACCACCGTGTCCCTGCCATCTTTCCCTCTCCTCCTGCTGTGGGCTGGC